TTTCCTCATGTGCAGCTCCACTCTCTGGTTTTGTCAGACCACTCACAATGCAGAGGCTTCGTGAGCAATTTTAGATTCAGCTTCTTATTTATTTCTTTATTTCACCAGGTAAGAAAATATTCACTTTCCATTTGGGATATGATAGTGAAAGAATTGGGGTGGGATTTGTGATGAAAGGATATTTCCAAAGAGAAAAGGAAAAAAAAAAAAAAAAACCACCTTTGTTTGTTCGCCAAGTCTGGAAGTGCCATAGGAATTATAAATCACATCTGGAGAGTTTGAAACTATTTGGGGAAAAGGGGATTGATAAGTGTTTATTTGTCTGTGCACTGCAGAAATTCACCTCGGCTTTCTGAATTCATTTGGAAACAAATATTAATAAGGAAGACTGTCACCTGCATCTGTCCTGAAGCAACAGATTGTTTAGTGCAAGCACTTGCAACACGGTAATTAATAGTTTAGAACATTCTAAATCATATACTGCTGATTTTTTTTTTTTTTAAATTAGGAAAATGTAGACCATGCCACAATTTTTTAACCACATGCTAATTTTTTTTTTTTTTTATTTCTAGAGTTTATTTTTAATTATTATGGTTTGTGTAACCACAAGTTCTTTTGAGTGATGTGACTAATTTGGGAGACCTTAATGCTATATTTTGCATATATATATATATTTGAAATGTAATCTCTAAAATTTGTTAAGAATCTGTTACAAAATCCTAGACATGGGCAGTTGAGTTGATACCCACATTCAAAGTGAGATGAGAGTGATGCAGAATCCTTAAGATTGGAAAAGACCTCTAAGATCATCGAGTCCAATCTCAGACCCATCACCCAGCCCAGAGCACTGAGTGCCACTTTCCTGGATGAAAAATAACAAAATGCCCTGCCCAGCCTCTGGCCAAGGGGCTGAATTTATTGTCCATCTCTGATGGCAGTGGGGGAGTGGAAGAGGGAGGTGAATCCAACAAGAGCAAGATGACTTTTCAGACATAATCTGGAATATCAATATTAGGTTCAGCTCTTAGCCATATGTTTTCCTCCACTTAATTAATTTAAAACTGTGCAAACATCCTACGGTGTTATGTCCCAGATCTCTGCCTTAAAAAAAAAAAAAAAACCCACAACAAAACAAAAGAACAAACAAAGTGGCTGAAGCCATCCCTGTGAAAAGAAATAAAAGTTATTTCACCAAAGGCAGCTCTATTTTGGTTTCTGAGGTGCTGTTACGCAAGAGCTACGGGAGAAGTGGGACAAGGATAACAAGAAGGGGGTCGTTATCCGAGAGTTCAAAGGTAGGCAGCTGATCAAAGGTTAAATACAAGAAAAGGAATTATTCCATTCAAGTTAAATATAGGCCTTTGTAACCTAAATAGATGCTTAGCTTCAATTAAAACTCTTGGAAAAGGCTTTCGTGCCGTGGGGAAGTTCTCAAAGTCAGGCAAACTTTGTTTTTATTGCTTGAAAGGATCTCGGGGAAGAGAGTGAAGGATGGGATATCTCAATTTTCATTCCAAAAGGCTTCTAGTTATAAAAGGTAGAGGGCAGAACCGATTAGATCCAGTCAAAATTGCAGCTTGCAGAGGTGGCATGAAAATATTTTGGCATCTAAAGATGGAGATGGAATATTAGAGCCTGTAAAAACATCTCCTCAAGGATAGGCAGAGCCTGTAAAAGCATTTTCTCCAGCCTGGTCGCAGCACAGAGCCCTGAAACGAGGCAAAGCTGGCAGGGAAAATGAGCAAAGGAGCAGCTGAGGGAGAGAGTTCAGCTGGGAGAGGGATTTGATGAAAGGAGTCAAATGGAAACTTGTAGGGAAGCAGGAGCTGCCTGGATGAAAAATAACAAAATGCCCTTCCCCAAGCATCTCCAGAAAATCGATCAGGAATGTTGGATGGCACTGATTAATTGAGAGTTTGAATATGCAGAGGAGGAAATTCTGTTTTCTGTCATTATTTAATACAAGGGGAATATGTGAGGATGGTGAGAGGAATTGTGTGGATCAATAGGAGACAACAGAGGGGAGAGAGGAGATCCTGCTTTTGGGCAGGAACTCTTTTGGATTCAAATCATCAGACTGTACTCTTCACTCCTGGACTTCTATCCAAATTTTAAAACCAGGTTGGGTGGGGCTTGGAGCACCCAGGTCTAGTGGAAGGTGGGTGGAATGAGGCGACCTTTAAGATCCCTCCCAACCCAAGCCATTCTGTGATTCTCTAGATCAGATCCTCTGCTCTGCACCATCCCAGTGGTGGCTTCAAGAGTCAGTTAATGGCAAATGATGTTTTCAACAGATACTTTTTGGCCTGCATGAATTTGCCTTTCCTGCTCAATGCAAATTGCTTCCATTTTTAAAAAGAGCTGGGATATCTCAGGATCAGCTGCTTTATGGCCTGACCCTGAATATAGGATTTATATCAGGGGAGTAAATGGTGCACTATATCCACCTGAAAGGGCTTGTGAGATTATTAAAAAGGGACCCACTGGTCAGAGAGCATTTCTAAATTGCCCATTCCATAATTATTATAATGTCCATAACACCTCATATGCATTAAACATTCAACTGAAATGACTCTGAATGGGAGAGCAATCATATAATAAAGAAAAACCCCTTCTCTCACATAACAGAATTTAAAATATTAATAAGGTAAATAGTATATAGAGTGTGTAAGTGTGTACACTTCTACATGCACTTATGAATTATATATTTATAGGATATGCCAAATGTGTAGTTAAACAACTTTCCACATAGGCTAATTCGAAGTGTGTTGGCCTTGGATTAAAATTTAACATTTCGGCTGCAAAAACAATCAGAATTCAAAAATTCCTGTTGCAAAATATTTGTTATAGCAGTGAAAACATCATCAAGCTTGACTTACTCCTCAGGAACATGTGAGATCAGTATTTTCTGGAAGTAAAAAAAGGAAATTCCAAACTCTTCATTACTTATCAAAAACATCCTGGTTTAGCTAAAGGGAACCACAAAAGGGTTTTGAAGGGAAGGGATTTGAAGGGAAGGGATGGGAAGGGAAAGGGGAAAATTAAGAAGAAAAGGGAGAAGGAGAAAATGAGAAAGGGAAGGGAAAAGGGAAGGGAAAAGGAAAAGGAGAAGGAAAGGGAGAAGGAGAAAGGAGAAGGAAAGGGGAAAAACTTGAAAACAGGGGAAAGGAAAGGGGGAAAAGGGGAAAAGGTTGAAAAAATGGGAAAGGGGGAAAAGGGAAAAAGGAAGGGGAAAGGGGGGAAAAAGGGGAAAGGGAAAAGAGGAGAAGGGGAAAGGGAGAGGCTTCTCATCCCAGAGGGGAGGTGGAGGTGAGCTCCTTGTCTAGGTCAGTGAGGACATTTGAAGCCTTCCCCCCCCTCCCTGTGCCATCCCCAGTGCTGACAACACCACTGGTTTGTCACAGCCCACCCTCCCGCTGTGTTGCCAGATGTTTCCATCCAGCTGCTACTTCCAGGCTCCAAGGAAAAAAAACCCAATTAATTGCACAAGTGTGGCAGCTTCATTAAAACAAGCACAGCCCAGCAGTGTGACGTGGGTTTATCTTTTCCATCAGTGGAATTGTAATTTCGGGGCCATCAACGTCTCTTCAACACAACAGTATCTGCTCCACCCCATCCACTCAGTCCTACAAGCTGTGCCCAAGAGGAGGCCTTCAGAGTAAATGCATGATTTGGGAACCCTCTGGAGTGACCCTTTTTACTCCATAAAACCCAGCAATGTTTAGAAAACCATCTATTTTTGTAGCTGTAAAGAAGCAATTGCTGAAAGCTGTGGTTTCTGTCACCTTCTGATATAGGAATCCAAACTACAGAACCACATAAAATACTGAATGAGCAGGAGGCTGCAGAGAGGTTCTCTAGTCCTGATAGTAAAGAAATAAGAAGGGAAAGGAGTGAAAGGAAACCCCAGTTTTGCAGTTTTTTCCGTTTTCTCTCCCTTTCCTACCAAAAACAGAGCTTTCCTAGCAGAAATCAAAGAAATGAGGTGAGAAGTCATCCAAAAATTCACCCTGGCCTTGAAGGGATCTGCATAACCACAATAAACTTTGAAGTGCAGTTGCTGTGCACGGCCAGGTTACCCAAATCCTTTCCATGTCAAAGGTGGAGCAACTGGAAAGCCAAAGTTTTAGGCATCCACCTGTGAGATCTTGGCCACTGAGCTGTTTTGCCACAAATTTTGAGGCAAAAAGGAATCATTTAAATGAATGTCACAGCCATCAGAGGTTACTGTGGCCTCTGACAGCAGTTTATTCCCATCTACTTTAATTGTAAACATGCTTTGCCAGTCTCTTTACATCATCTGCACTCTTGGGATGCAAAGAATATTTAACATGAATTATTATTGTAGTAAACATAAAACAACGTTTCCTTCAGTGAAATAAACACTCAGAGATAAACATTCATTAGTTAACCTTGAAACTTCAGGTTTAATTTTACAGCTTCAGGTCAAAACACCAAGAAACCAAAACATCTGGCTAAAAATCATACAAAACCCCCCAACTTCAAAATATCTCAGTATATTATAGATCAACAAGTCAAAACATTGCTTCATGCTAAATCACTCATCTGAAAACATCTGCTTTACCTGGTCTTAAATACTTCTCCATAATAATGACTTCTATAGGTATAATTACAATTAAAAATAAATATAGGCACAGTTAGGGCCTCAAATCCATGCAGAGGTAACATCAGCTGTGTTTTTTACGAAATCTGGGATTCAGGAAATCAGCCACAATTCTACTCCATGAGAAAACACAGAGTTTTACCCCCAGTTCTCAGTTTTAAAAGATGAAGTTACTCTGCAGAGCCACAGGGTTGAAAACACAGATTTTTTTGCTTCCCGGGGAGGAGACACTGTGCTCAGCCTTCAACAACACGTGACTGCTGCATGCACAGAATACCTGAGTATGAGCTGACTGTACCGGTGTGGTTTTGTAGTAAAAAGTATTATAAGACAAAAAAAAAAAGAAAAAAAAGAAAAAAAAAAAAAGGAACTTTGAAAGTTGAAAAATTGAAAGAGATTTTTAAAACAGGAGAAAAGGCGGCGTTGTGGCCGACGTTTTACAGGCATTTCAGCTCCACTGCAGGGTGTAGTTTTGGCCTAATCTCAGCTGAAGCCCAGTGATTGTCAGGAGCTGGGAATAAAACAGACAAAATGGACAATTAGTAACTTTGCCCTGGACATCCACAGTGGTTTTTGTGTTCCACAGAGATACTGGCTTCTCATTTTAAACTACAATTTATTCCTCTTTCTTTACTTTTGTGTTTCTGTCACTATAAACAGATTTTCACCAGCACAGAGCTGGGAGTCTGACTGTGGTGCTCTGATCCCTTTCTTCATTCAGAGGCTCTTTTAGAACTGAGGTTCCTTTTATTTTTGAAATAAAGGAATTTTTGAAAGGCAGCAAAACTTGGAACGTGCTGTAATTCAACCGTGAACATGAAATTTTTTTCCATCCAAAAATCAACAGCAGAACAAAACACTCTCATTCTCTTTTGCATTTTTAACTCCCTTTTGTTGTTGTTGTTGTTTTGTTTTGGGTTGGTTCTGTTCAGAATTTCTATAGTTCTGGCTTTCCACTGAAAAGGAGGAAGAACTAAGTCTTAACCGAATGCTGAATTTCAAAGGAAGGGTAGGAAAATCCCAGTAACTCTCCCTCTGTCAGAAAACCAGAAAGACTGAACATCTCAGCAGTTCTGTTCATGGATGAAAGATGCTTTGTGGGAGTGGCATCTCAAACATCAGTAGTTAAACAGATTGATTTCAGTTGCCTTTGGAAGTGTTTGATTTTATTGTCTGGGAAGGCAAGAGAAGGTGATGCCCTGGACAGGCACAACCCATGGAGATGGAAACCCCAGGGTTCTGAAGCTGGTGGAAGGTTTGTCAGTAACTTCAGAAGAAGTAGGATTTGCCATTTCTGGTGTAGGAATTTCTACAGCTGAAATGGGACCTGACAGAACAAGAAATAGTGGGAGGCAAACAGGGCTGGGAAATGTAACTGTTGTCAGACAAGACTGACAATAACAGGGCCATGTAGAGCCTCTGAAAATACCTGGAGTTGCTTTTCCTTCCCTCAAATCTCACAGGTTGCAAGTAGAAAGGTATTAGGAAGAGTGGAAGATGAGCACAGACTAAAATCCACCACTTTTGCACCGTCAGAAGTGGTTTGGGTTCCTCAGCAGGAATTTCTGTGCTTAAAGGCTCTACCACACACATAATTTCCTATGTATTAAAGTGTATTATACAATCATTATCTGATGGTAGATTGAAATGTATTTCAACTCTGGTATTCCAGCTGAATCTCCAAAGGCTTAAGAACACAAATGCAGGTGTGAAGGTGGCATTACCCTGCAAGCATCATCTCACCTGCTTGCTGCTGGTGTAGATCAAGTTATGAGGGGATGGGACTGTCGCACCATTCTGTGACACCGTCACCTGGCTGACACTGCTGGGCACCCCCAGGACCTTGATTTCAGTAAACTGTAAGTTATTTGGGTCGGTGTAGCCATCATGCAGAACCCTGATATCTAGAACAGTCTGCAAAGAAAAGGAAAAAAAAAACAAATATCAGAGATTAGAGTGGCACAAACCCCGAGAAGCTGTGGCTGCTCCACACCTGGAAGTGTCCAAGGCCAGGCTGGATGGGTCTGTGTCTTTAATTTCCACTCAGCTGAACGATGTGAGAAGTTTTTAACCCCTGCCGTGGGCAGCAAGTGCTGCAGGACAAACCCCCTCCTGCACTCCCAGCTGCTGGCAGAGCTGCTCCAGGCTCTGCTCTCCCTGCTTTGTGCCTCCCAGAGCAGCTCCTGCGTCCCCATCGCCCCCTCAGCACCCCCAGGTCCCCTCTCATTCCCAGTCACAGGGATTTTAAGCACATCCTGGGCACACAATTCCTTTAGGATGTGCCCAGATCCCATGCAAATGGGCTGGGACACAACTCTGCATATTTAGTGCTTAGAGGGAATTACTTCTACTGTGGGTGTTTTTCATTGTTGGTTGATTCAAGACCTTTTTAATTAAGCTTTTCCTTACCAAGTTTTTGTAAAAAAAAAAAAAAAAAAAAAAAAAAAAAAAAAAAAAAAAAAAAAAAAAGGGAAAGGTGCATTTACTTTGTAATCTCCTTACAACTGCAAATACTGAGTATTAGCAAAACAAACTTCTCTTCCTTAGCAATTAACACCCTTTTATTTGACAAAGACAGAATTAAATGAGAAGAAAGAACAGTGTGGATAAAATTAGAAGACATTCTGACACCCTGGATAACTAATGAAATAAGAAAGTGTGTTTTCTACAACAACAGAAAGACCATTTCTTTTAAACCAAAAGTCCATATAATTAGAGTCTAATTTTATTCCGGTTATTCACATGATAAAAATTGAAATCTGACAATGTTCAACCTACTTAACAAAACACTGTAATTTATAACTTCAGAATCACTCCTAAATTCATTCTCAGCACAGTTTAATCATATCACTTGTAGTTTATTCAATTGTGAGCACAGTTTAATGATGGGGGGGATATATAGACACCATAGAGATCCAAATTAAAATACCCATATAGTTAAAATACAATAATAATCACTTAAAGTGATTGTTCAAAAAATGTGAGCTGGTGTGACTTACCTGATTAGCAGTGAATGATGTCAGCAGATATTGACCCTTTTCATATGCATCTGTTAGAAAGAAAGAATAAAATAAAATGTATTTTCTGTCTTCCTTACTTAACACAGTATCAAAATTTCAGTTGAAGAATTGTGTCCAGACATTACACACAAATATATGATATGTGTCTGTGTGTTAATAAAGTTGTGCATTTCCAGAAGATATATTAGATATCAGATACTTTCAGTATTTAATGTGTGCTGCTTAAATGAGGCCAAAAGAACATTTTAGAGGTAAGATATATATATATATATATATATATATATATATATATATATATATATATATATATGGAGATATATATATATATATATATATATAAAGCAATGAAACAGCATTAGGAAGATCAGGGGTGTTTAGACCAGAAGGAGAAAGATATTTCTTTCTCACTGAGAACTCATTTCCCACACCCACTTCTATTCCCTGTCCAATTCCACGTGACACACGACCATGATAAAGGCTGATACACCTTCAAAATTGTTGTTGTATATTTTACCACCCCTATTATTCAGCCTTAAATGCACTCAGAGCGGTGCTGAGAGTCACTGGAATGAGGTTCCTGCCTCTCCTCGCTACTGAAAACAGATCACAGGCACCTGCTGAGATGCACCTTGTGATCCATGTAAATTCCTTCTGGATTCCAGTGCTGACAAGAATGTTGTGTGTGTGAAACTCCTCAAGATGCACCAACAGCATCCTGCAGACTTCTCTCCACACCATTATGCAAAACAGCCCCATTTTCTGAGTTCCCTGCAGTAATTTTGGGTGAATTTTTATTGTTATTACAGGGGTGATGATGCTCTCTGGATGGAAAGGATAAATGATGTTTAAATATCCCTTATCTGAAATGTAGTGGTGTTGAGGAAATTAGTTTAAGGCCCCACATAATCTGTGGTTATGGCTCCCATAGGTTTGAGGATGAGTCTTTGTGCTGCCTTAGGCCCAGGGCACAATTTCATTTACACAACATATTAATTCTGTAAATCGTGGCATTGTGGGGATTAAATCAGGAAAAGTCATGTTCCTATAATGGTTTAACTTCAGTTTTGCCTCTGAAGGCAGGTTCAGGTATGTCCTCCAGAAATGTGAGGGCTTTGCCCAGAGCCCATCGTTTCTACCTGCTCCTAAAACCTCTCCTCAAACACCCCCCACCTCTGCAGAGCTCGTTTCACGTCTCCCCACTCCCCACCCTTGGGTTTTGTTCTGTCTGTTTTAATCTGGGCTTTGAATATCTCCAAGGGTGGAAGCTCCACAACCTCTCTGGGCAACCTGTTGCAGAGTTTGCCCATTCTCACAGCAACAAAAGAAAAACGGTTTTATGAAGGCAAGAAGCACCAGACATACCAATCAGAACCCCATCATCCCAATAAAGGTGTCCTTCTGCAAACAGACCGTCATCCAATGCCACCGTGAGTCCCATTGGGTTTTTCCGGCTGTGGAAAACATGATAATTTCCCCCTCAATTTACTCAGCAGATCACCTTTCACATTTCTCTAATGTTACAATTTTTAAAGGAACAACTGTACATCACCCAGTTCACCTCCCATAACCATCTTCCCTAGCCCGTACTGTCAAATTTCAAAGAAAAGCAAAAAGGAATAAAAAAAACCAAAACAAAAAACCCTCAAACAAATGTGAAAATTTTCGGTTAATCTCACCTGAGAAAAGTTGTCCTGGCAGGTTTTTGCCAAGGAAGGATGTGCCCACCTCGGATGTGCAGGTTGATGTGATCCAAAGGAGCTTGGAAAACTCTGTATTGTCCTGTAAGGCCGACATTCTCATCCTGTGCACACAAAAAAAGTCAGGAAGTTTTACAGGTGGTTGGTTGTTGGTTTGTTTGTTTTGTTTTGTTTTTATTTAGAATAAAATGATAATGTTTTTCTAGACAGATTAATCAGTAGTTGTTACTGCAGGAGTAACTAGTAATGCTTTTAAGAGGAGCTCTTAAATTTTGGCTCTGTGAAGGTGCAGCAGCTCAACCAAAGGGGCCAATCAGGTGAAATCCAAACCTGTGATTAATGAAAGTTTGATCCCTGCTCTTCCTATGACCAAATCTTCTATTGTTTTCCAGGAAAGATGATGCAGCTAAACCTGCTTTGTCTCTCTACAGTCCAGCATTCCATTACAAAGACATTCTGTGTATAATTTGAGGGTTAAAAAAGTCAATTTGACTCTAAATTAAAGGCATTATTTCACTTTTTAACTTACCCAAAACTCTGGGCAAGTTATTATACAGTATTATACAGGAATCAAGGATTTATTTTGAATCAGCTAAGCAGATTTTACATTTCTAAGAGCTTCTGTTAAATGCAAACTAAGCAAGAGAGAGTTCCCACCTCCCCACCACTGGGAAGAAGACATAAAATACAATTTTTAAGTGACTTACCGTGTAGTAATCGTACCAGCGGGCACTGGGCAGGTAAGCCCTCACTGTTACAGCATTCTGGAATTAAACACACACGTTTTAGGCACCTTGAGTCAAAAAAGGGAAGCT